AATAGAGGCTAAGACCTCCAATAAAAGGGGACCAAAACATACAAGCAATTCTACGCTTCTTTATACACTGTTCTTATTTGTTTTCATTACTTTTTGAGTGAGTTATTTTATTTTTCTCAATCATTATTGGTTGAGCGAAATTTTGTACCTACACTATGCTTAAGCACTTTTCATTTGTAGAATTCTGATTGTGTAATCAAATCTCTACTTTTCCTCCACTTGCAAAACTTTCTAATGCTTCATGACATTGTCGGACTCTGATAAATATCCTTCCTAGTCCATAGACGGCCACAATTCAGGTGTTGAAGAAGGTTGGCCGAGCGTCCCTCAAAACGTCTGGTGAGCCATGAGAACTACAGATTTATGAAACCAATGGAGCATGAGTGTGTGCATGTCCACGAGATAACAGAAGGTGCTAGAACTAAAGAGGCGGAGGCCAACGCGGAGTATGATAATGCTCTCAAAGAAGCCATTGGAGGGGTGCAGGATGCAGAAGCCATTACATAATTTGACATTGTTATGTAACTTGTTTCCCATTTACTCCGTTTGTTTCAACGTAAAATATTCGTTTTGGAAAATATTTTTCTTTTTCAAGTAAAATATTCTTTTATTTTTATTTTATCAGTGTTTGGCAAAGGTCTACGTTGAGTTCGAGTCCATCGGGCTGGACATGTAAAATAACTTGTCGAAAATTTATAAATAAATTATTTTTGTTAAATTTTAATATTTTTTTTTCGTATATATTTTACAACAACCAAACACCAAAAAATTAAAATTTATTTTTTAAAAATTATTTTACGTCCAAATAAACAGAATCTTAGCATCATTTATAGGGTTACTAAGGTTTACCGTGATCCTCATAATGATGATTCGCCTGGAATATTGCAGAAGCGCGTAAGCATGGAAGTCCCCTTTGCAGGAAACATAGTGACGTAGTATATATGGACTCCCAAACGAGCCTGTGGTGGTAGCATTACATGGAGAGGAACTCTCTCTGCGTAAGCCCAACATTCACAACTAGTTGAACTCTCAAGGAGGCATTTCAAATGCATGTAACATGCATAATGCACTGTTGAATCTTTTTTGAAATTTTCTACTAAAAATTCATGGCCTAGTTTTTTCTCAACACTTCCAATCATAATAAAAGTTTTTAAAACTTTTAATATAACAATATATATATATATAAATAAAGCATTTTGAATTCTTTGCTGTGTTTGGAAGTTTGGAATCAAATCCTTGTGAGAATGGGATTTAGAAAATAAAATGAAATTGGATTATGTTTGAAATGAAATCCTATTTTTTGTGTTTTTTTTTTTTTCGGTAAATAAGAGAATCCTATTTTTGTGTTTGGGACAAATTAGAATATAATCATAAAACAATTAGAAGTACATAAATTTTCTGCTATTTCTTCAAATAATAGAAAGTAGAAAGTGGTTGGGGCTTAAACAATATGAAAATGCATTATCTGTATATTGCTTAATATTTCGGGAAAAAAAAAATGAAAATACATTAGTAGTGTTGTGCCTCGTGATTTTATTTTATTTTATATTTTCTGAAATATTTGTAACAAAAGGTTATTATAGACTCATTTCAACTCGTCCTATAAAATAAAGTTGGTTGATTGAAATAATACTTTTTACATTGGCATTTTCATTGGATTTAATTAAATGAGACACCTTCATTAATACACTTGCACTATAGCGGTTCAATGTATTGAAATTTAAGTACATATATCAAATAGTCAAATCACTTTAAAATTGTGTAAAAATTGATGAGATCATAATGCAACAAGTCTCCTTAATTTCAATCTTTGTGATGAGGACCGGCCCTGGCCCTGGCCCAAGGCAACCAAGGCGGTCTCCTTGGGCCTCAAAATCCATAGGGGATGGAAAAAAAAAAAATTAAGTTAGGACACGTCTGGGTTGGGCCTCAAATTTTAGAGGCGACAAATTTTGAGGCCTACAGGGGATGAAAAAAAAAAAAAAAAAGTAAGGGCAAGTTTCAGACGACACAATCTGCTTGGACTCTCCGCAGGGCGCAGCCTCCGCCATCGCCTCAGTTGACAAGGTATGTTCATCCTCTCTCTCTCTCTCTCCTTTTGCATGAATCTATCTTTTATATATGTTTTTTTTTCTTTCGTTCATCTCATCATTTGATTTGTTCTAACTTTGGTTCGTTTGATTCGGGCCTTTACCTTTGTTCCAATAGTGAAAAGTAGCTTCCAAACTAGGGCTTTTTTTGTGTGTGTGTGTCACTGTGTGATGGCTATCAAAAGCTGAATGAATATATTATGGTTCTCTTAGTATTTTAATAAATGTGTGCCTTTCTACATGTGTCTTTCATAGCGATCGAGTCCATAATCTATGGCAGGTACTTTTTATTTTTTATTTTTAATTTTTCCTCTTTCCTCTCCCTAATTCCACTCCAATCTCACAACAGCAGCAACCATACCCCTTTTCCTCATAATTTTTTGCATTTTCACATTCAATCCTACGAAAATTAAGGATCCCTTCTAGTGGGTTGAGCCTTTGAGGTAATAATTAACTTTTTCGATCTCTAAATTATGCTCATACTTAAAAGTGCCATATTAAGGTTTTTTTATATATTATATTTTTATATGAAGATACATTCCACCATTATTGATGTTATTTGAAGTTGGCTCAGCTAGAATTTCAGTTAATAATACTGTCAAAGCACTTGCCATCAGAATGTACAAACACATGGAAATCAAGAGCAGGCTTTAACAAAACAAAAGTTAATGGTTTTTCTATTAATTTGCACAGGTCTTCTGTAGCAATGATCAACCAATCACTGCTACTAAAGTTGATTCCTCATCCTGAAATCAAGAAAGGGTTAATTGGTTCCCAAAAAAAAAAAAGGCAAACATAGTTAATATAAAGAGTGAAAGACAAAACTATATATGATAGTGGATGCCACATATAACCTAAAAGTCCCACTACTTCTTCAGTACTACAAGTTCAGCCTCCTATAATATATATAGTCACCTAATCTCCACATATTTTTGTCATTTGTAATCATCAAATTTTAGTAGCTATATAAACAATGAATGTAAAAGAAGCTGCAGTTTTCTGTTCTCTAGTAAACTGTTTTCTTCATTTTTTATTTTGTGCCTGTGAAAAGTTCTCACTCTTTAATTGATTGATTTATTGTTATTAGTCAGCTGTCTTATGCACACTGCACATGCGCACAATTATTTATTGGTGATGATAGATTTATAGTTATTAGTTAGTTGTCTTATGCAATCTGCACAGGCGCACAATTATTTATTGGTAGTGATAAAATTTTATAGTTATTAGTTAGTTGTCTTAAGCACACTGCACAAGCGCACAATTATTTATTGGTGGTGATAAAAATTTATAGTTATTAGTTAGTTGTCTTATGGACACTGCACAGGCACACAATTATTCGTTGGTGGTGATAAATTTGTAGTTATTAGTTAGTTGTCTTATGCACGATGCACAGGCGCACAATTATTTGTTGGTGGTGATAAATTTGTAGTTATTAGTTGTCTTATGCACAATGCACTAGTGCACAATTATATTAGCTATAGAATTTGAAAACATCGTATGAAAATTTCGCACTCTTATAATTTTTTTTTTTTTTGCGCGTGTGAAACTTAAGGGCCTCACATTTGAAAGTTCGCCTAGGGCCTCTCAAAATATTTGGAATCTCAGGCTGGCCCTGTATGTGATCTGTGTGTATGACAATAACTGCATTATTGAGGTATTCTACTCCATTTTTTTTAAACCTGGCCAGACAGCCACACTTATTTTATATTTATATTTTTATTTTTCTTTATTTATTTACGAAAGTTCAATATATCATTATTTTTTCCTAAAAAAGTTCAAATTGAAGCACCACCCTTTTAATTAGGGTAAAATCAAGTTAAAAAAATCACAGTAAACCGAGTCTCTGAAAACCATTTACTCTCTAGAAAATTCGTCTATTTATACACAGTACGCCGAGTCTGAAACATATTACTCTCCAGGAGGATTTGCCGACTTATACACAGTACGCCGAGTCTGAAACAATTTACTTTCCAGAAAAATCCGCCTCTCTCCAAAACCCTAGCAAATAAACACAATACGCCCATTCTGGAAACCATTTGCTCTCCAAAAAAATTCGCCTCTCCCTTTCTCCAAAACCCTATTAAAGTCTTCTATTTCTTAAAATTTATACAATGATGTTATTTTTAAAATAAAAAAAAAATTACATTTTAATATTTAAAAGTTATTGAACACTTCATAAGTTATTATTATAAAATTATAAATAGGTGTAGAAAAATATCAGATACAAACACAATAGGCCGATTCTGGAAACCATTTACTCTTCAGAAAAATCGCCGCCTCTCCCTCTCTCTCCAAAACCCTAGCAAAGTTTCTATTTCAACTTGTTCGATCTATCTGCGATCACTCCATCAAAATATTGTTTGATTCAACCCCTCAACAATCACAGCTATCAGTGTCAATCTTTCTCGACGAAGACAGAAAATACAGGTTTGCTAATTCTATACGTCTCAAACTTCTAGGGTTTCTATTCATCACTGTAACTGGAATTTTTCAATTTTTAGGGTTTCGATTTTTAGGATTTTGATTTTAGGGTTTCGATTTTTAGGATTTCTGTGCTTTGGATTCTTTTAAAGTTATTTTATTCGTCTTTTGTGTTACCGAATGATTGAAGGCGATGGGAGAGATCAGGATTCTCTTTGGAATTGAAGGATCAGAAACCATTTAGGTTTTCATGGATTTGTTAGGATTGGGTTTTTGAGTGTTTGAACAGCATCTTCTGTCGATATATATATGCGATTAACTGTATCTATATTTTGTGTGTATAGTATGGCTATAAACGCAAGAAGATCAGTTTTTGATCGACTTGGAGGAGGACCAGTGGTCAACAAGGTTTGCACCTTTTGGCTTGCTGGAAGATGTACCAGACAGCCATGTCAGTTCTTACACATCCAACCATCTCCCAGGTATTTCTTTTATATATATATACATATGTATATATGTATGTATTTTATGTTTATATATCATGTATTTGATCTCTCTTTTGAATCTTTAATTTTCATTGTAGTCGTTAATCCGGTTTTGAGAACCCAAGAATGTGATTTTTGTTTTTAACTATATGCAAACTGCAGAAACCCTAAAAAACTTGTTTTTAACACTTTAAGAGAAGGGTTGCAAGTGTCAGAGCTAAAGTGTTTTTGGGCCTCATAAGATCGCTGATCCAAAAAAGAGTAAGAAGGAGGAGAGTGTAAGAACACATAAATATATGATGGTGTTAATGGGTTGTGATGGCTTGACCGCTTCTGTAACCTCCTCTCAAGCCATTTCAGTCCGCCAACACCCTCCCTTGTCATGGAAGCCCAGAACCCATCACCGCTGCCGCCGCCGACCACCCGCCCACCTGCCATTACCATCCTCCCTTGTCATGGAAGCCCAGAACCCATCACCAGTAACTTCAGTGGTTGATTGCTCACACAGACCTGACAGTAATTCTAATATCCCATCATAAGACCTAGACGATAGAACAATGAGATGTTCCGTCTGTTATGGATAAATGGACTGTATATCATGAATGTCTTATTTCTTGTTCCTTTATTATGGAATATGAATAAATAGGAGAGTTCCATACTCTTCTCTTTGTCATACTCTTACTATCCACACTAATTGCGTGTTCCTTCCTTTCGATTAGTGGTCTTTATTGGTTGCGTATTGGTTTCTTAATTTTGGTTCCTTTTGATCCAGCACTTCAGTTACATAGTTTCGATTGTGATATATGGTTTCTCTTCTTTCCTCAGATCTCTCTAATTATGCCTTATTTTATTTTATTTTTTTGTGTGTTTGTTTTTTGCGGGCCTGCTTTATCTCATCCTCCATGGGGTAATCAGCCAAAGTTACCAGGCAACTTCCCAGCTATCAAAAGAACTAGGTCACCTCCTGATACGTGTCCAGGTATGGCTTTCAATTTTGATCAATGTGCAAGCCTGTAAATTCGTTGTTTTCGAGCTGCGATGTTGAGGTCGTAGGTCCAGTCCAATTTTGTCCATCCTGCTCAAAGTGAAAAAATGGTTACAATATTGTTTTCCACGTATTTTTAATTTTAAAAGAAAGAAACTGCCGTTGTGGAAACAGATAATGTCAGTCTATTCTGAACTTGATATGAAATTATATCTAGTTCAGTGCTATTCTGAATTATACAATTGAAAGTTCCATCTAGTTTTTAAGTACTCTGAGAAACTAGTGCACCTTGTTAGTAATGTGGGAGACTTCTGGAGTAAGTTTTGTCTAAATCTTGTAATACATGTTAGCCTCTTGTTTTATGTTTCAGAGCGAGAGAGAGCTAAACGAGAGAGGAAAGGAGATCTTGACCAGTATGAACGCTTGGGAGGCCCATTGAAGCTTTCAAAACTTGTTCTTCTGAAAAGGTCGAGAAGGATAGTTGAGGATGTTTCATCTCCTCCTGTATCGATATCATTGCCTGATTATGAAGCTATCTCATCCCAACTTCCAACTTCTCAAACTGATTCTCCTACGGGTAATATAGCAATGCCATTGCAAATTATGTTTGGAAGTGTTGGTGAAGAGAGACTTCCAACTTCTCAAACTGATTCTCCTACGGGTAATATAGCACTGCAAACTATGTTTGCTGAAGACCTTGATGATGAAGAGCGTACAGATATTACAGATATACACCAAGAAGTTGAAAATGATGTTAGGAGTTATCATGATGAAGAAGTTGCTGAGGCAAGACTAAAACTAATCTTAAGGTTGTAGCTTATTCCTACTCGTTCAGCTGTAATTTGTTGCATTTGTTTTACCTTTTTTTTTTCCTTTTTTTTTCTGTTTTTTCTTATTGTTCCTGCATTTCTCTTTGGTCAGAATATGGAGGCGGCACTCCTCAAAGAAAAGGCAGTTACGTAAGCAAAGGCAGTTAGCAGCAAATGCTGCATTAAATTCCCCCTCATTGGGTCCACCAATTCGACATAGGAAAGACGTAAGTCTTTTTGTTCCCCACCTTCTCTCCAATATATAACATGAACCAATCCCAAATCACAATATACTTTTTGTTATTCTATTACCTTCCTTACTCTTCTGTTGGATTTCATTTTATTGCTTCTCTTGTCCCCTCCCCCCTCTATCTTTTTGTCTCTCCAATATATAAAGTGAAGTAATCCCAAAAGATGAAGATATACATACATGACTTTGTTTGGGCCATCTCCCATGGTCACACATCAATGCAGTCTGTAGTGATTGGAGAATCATGGTTGTAATATCTAATCCTAAAGACAAAAGACCTTGGTTTGACATTTATTCTTATTAGTTTTGCCACTTTGGCCTTGTTTAACCAGACATGAATGACTCACTGAAAATAAAAAAAAAATTCCAAAATGACAGAAATTTTATCCGTCATAAACTAAAGAAGTGGAATCCTTGGAGTGGAGGTCAAATCGAGGGTGCCTTCTGTGTTTTACTTCAATTAATTTTTTGACTTTGTATGATAGAAAATGAACTAGGACAGACATGAGATGGCTTCTTTATAAGGCCATTATCCAATGTTGGTTTCCCCAATTCAAGATGGTGCTTTTGTATCAAGAATTTCCGCGCAGATGGAAGTTTGACTTACCTAACATATGTGCATAATACATAATTACCTTTTTCTTTTCACTTAGTGAATTTATAATTAACTACTACACATAAATACATGTTTGTGTACACACCCATTACAAGCCCCTCCCTCCGTGCCAAGACATACAGATATTCAATCGCTTTGCATATGATAATATACATAAGAATTGAAGAATTAATGGCATGCTATGGGCATATTCTCTCGTTCATCTTTCTCAACATTACTTTGTTTTGCTGAAGTTCCTAATTCCTTTTTCATCTTGTAAAGCGACCAAGCATGTTTGGCGAGTTCGACATTGATCGTGTTATGAGCGAGAGATACCAAAAACATGAAAGATCATGGTCAAGGCTCAATGTTTCAGAGGTGATAGTGGGCGAGCTTGGTAGAAAGAACCCAGAAGCGAAATGCCATTGCTGGAAAATTGTTTTGTGTTCTCAGATGGACAACCCAGCGGGAGAGAAACTGGGACAATGAAGCCAAGCTACCCCTTTAGCACCACACCCGTGGTTGCTTTCTAAGCTTATGCCGACTGGAAAAGACGATGACGATCCTGTAATCTCGTCCCCTGGTCTGTCAGTTTGGAAGAAATGGATTCCTTGCCAATCTGGTGGCAACCTCACCTGCTGTTTGTCAATCATCAAGGATACAAAAACTGATTATCTGAGTGAGGCGGTATTAGGTGCAAGTGCCATTCTTTTCCTTGTATCTGAAAGCATTCCTTGGGAGCTCCAAAAGATCAGGCTCCATAACCTTCTTATGGCTTTACCTTCTGGTTCCTGCTTGCCTCTTTTGATCTTGAGAGGCAGACTCGAAGAAAATTCGGATTCTTCATCAACCGTGGTTGAAAATTTGGGGCTCCATGATATTGACAAATCACGTCTAAGTAACTTTCTGGTGGTTCATCTCGTTCAGGACCATGAAGATGAAAGATTTGATGGGTTTTTCAGTGACGAGCAATTGAGAGATGGGCTAAAGTGGCTGGCAAGTGAGTCGCCTTTACAACCTGTTCTGAGTTGTGTTACAACACATGAAGTGGTTCTGACCCATTTGAATTCTTCATTGGGGGAGCTTAATGAGATGAATGCTTATGATGTGGGTCCAAACCACTGTATCTCAACCTTCAATGAAGCCCTGGACCGATCATTGGGAGAAATTGCTGCTGCAGCTAATGCGAACCCTGCTTGTTGGCCTTGTCCAGAGATTTCTTTGCTGGAGTAGTCCAGTGATGAATATAAAGCTGTGAAGTTGTACTTGCCAAGCATAGGTTGGAGTTCAGCAGCAAGAATTCAACCACTTGCGAGTGCACTAAAAGACTGTAAAATTCCTACATTTCTGGATGAAATGGTTGAAGTCGTCTGCAGCCCCCTTATTTCCAGGATAGGTTATTCAGAGCATGAAGCTTCTCAATCTCCATCAGTGGTTGTTTCCAATGTTGGTAAGGATCAAGATTCTGCCAATGCAAATGACTTAGAAGATGAAATGAATATTGCACAGAATGATACACTGGTAACCAATGGATCAAACTACACTAGTAGTGAATGGGTGGTGACCAAGGTCACAAAGGAAGCTGACAAACTTTGCAAGTTGTTAGAACAACGTAACATAATTCAGGACATGTTTCTTATTGTGAGAGAATTCTTGTATCATATATGTAGCTTTTTGGCAACCAGTGTGTCGTCCGTTTTTTTTTTTATTTTTTTCCTTCAAAGTTATTTCAAACGCACCATTCCTATTTGTTTTGCATTTTGTTCAGTTTGTGTGCGCATTTTAACGTCAGCTTTCATTTTCCCTTTGCTTTTGCTTGTTTAATTTTTGTGAAGTTAGTTAGTTTGGCCCTAAAAGCCCAGGTAGGGATTGCTTTTCACCTAGTTGAAAGCGTATTTATTTAAAATTTTGTCCTAAAAGTCTGTTTGGAATTGTTTTTCACTTGCTAAAAAACACGATTTTACCATCAATTTTTTCCCTTTTTTTTTTTTTAAAAAAAAAAGACGATTTCAACCCATTTCTAAAGTGCTATTATCAAATATGGCAACGTTATATTAAAGGATTTTATTATAAGTTATATTAAAGGATATTATTATAAATTAGCAATACAATACAAGTGTTTTAAAAAATATTGTTACCAAACAATTTAAAAAATAATTAAATTATGCAAAATATTTATTATAATGTGTCTCCAAATACCGAACATATTTTTCACCCACCTCAATTTTTGAACACTAATGACGAAAATGTTTTTATTTTATTTTATTTTATTTATTCTAAAAGCAACATCAAACGAGCTATAAGCCAAATAGAGTGGTGGCAAATATAAAAATTTTGCTACAGTTCGGGAGCGCCTCGAGCGATTGTGTGCTACTAAATATATGTGTATATATAAAATATTTTCAATATTTGTACATATGCTAATGACCTATATATTTTGTGGAATAATAAAAATGTAATTTCATTAACATAAGATATACTTTGTGGAATAATAAACATGTAATATGAAAATGTGTTTGTATCATCCTAGTCTAATTTATAATATTAGTAATCATTAAAATACAAAAAATTATAGTATATTTTTTATTTCTAAAAAAATACAGTGAGAAATCCACATATTTATTATAAATAAAAATATATTGTTTAAATGAAAACCCGTTATGAATAAAAGGATTCACAAATTGAATTCGACAAAATTGAGTTTGCGATTTGGAGAAGGATTTACTCTCAAGATTCTACCTGGTATAGGTTTAGGATAGGGAAGCTAGGAAGGTCGGATTGGACTAAACTTGGGTGGAGTTTGGGTTGATCCACACAAGTGAATAAACCCTATACCATAAGCTCACACCATCTATACACATAACCATTCCATTCCATCCAATATTTCACATAACATTTAGCAATCACAATATACTCTTTTCTGCCACCACAGAAAAATGATCGCATTGACATTACTAAATCTACTCTTCATACTTGTCATATGATAAAACCTATTTTCTGCCGATTACGTTGTTAGAAACCTCTTCTTCCAACTTGCAATGTGGATTATGCATACCTTCACTATCCTCCTGGCGTACATCTTTAGCAGATATGGTGGTAAAATAATGATCAGAGTCATCTGACACCGAACTTCCGACCAGAACCTCACTGAAACTCTCCAAAACTTGTTGCATTACCCTGTTATTCGTGTTGAGTTAGCAGGCTTGTCCTCCATAATGATGCAGGTCATATCGTGCAATTTGTAGTCACTGATATTGAATGCACGGAGCAACGGAAATATAAATCTTGCATGGGCACATAAAAAATGGCTTCTGCTGCCAGTAGGATACAGCAACCTCTCTTACCCCCTTACCTGCCATATATCGTTTGTTTGAACAGATCATTAGTAACTCTACAGTCAGCTAAACCACCGACTCCTTCCATTTTTAATTTTAATAATTTATTTGACAGAAGAGTAATGAAATCAAGCTCCCTAAAACGGGCACGCAGATAGTACCATCTGAAGACAACAGAAACGAGAAATGTGAGGAACTTCCTAAGTGCTCATGTTAGCTCAGTCACTGCAAATAATGGGAAAAACAATGTCATGAGAAACAAATAATATAGTACGTCTGTAAAGAACAAATTATGAGAAACCCACAATTCTGAAGGCTTGGGAAGTGGAGGAGATGAAACAACAATCCCGGCATTTTGATCAGTTGATACAATATGTTGACACTGCTGCTGCAGATCTGAAAAATCACTTCTCACGGAGCGGTAAAGTTCTGATCCAGAAGGAGAACGAAATACATCAGAACTTCCTTTTCCTGTCTTCAGTGCAGCTGTCTTCATATTAACTCCACCACTACTGTAGGTGGTATCGACACCTGACTATTGCAATATGAAAACATATCAGCTCATCATAAAAAGATATAAATGGACTAATATGGTATAATAATAATTCTTCAACAGAGAGTTTTATGTTCTGCAAGTGGCATGGGAGAAGGAGAAATTTAGCAGGGAAGTATGGAAAATTCTAAATTATAATTCTTCTTATGAAAACGGATCGTCTTGCATCCACAAGGCTACATCCAGAAAAGTAACATGTCATCAATTATTTAACTACCCACAATTTTATCCCAACCAAAATGCGATTTTGTATGTTTCTATTTTCTGATCATTTGATGTAGACTTGTTGATACTTGGAGAAAAGGCTCGGAGAGGATATGTATCCTTCATTTTTAGTAATTGATATTATTTCTAAAGGGGAGGGATCTAGGTGGGGGGTGTTATATTAGGTTCTCGTTGGTAAAAAATTCAATAAACTCTGATGGCAGTAACCAATTCCAGACACGCACTCTTTCAGATAACAAAGAATGAAGTGATCACAAGGTATCTATAAACCTATAGAAACCAACATATCAGCTGCAATTCCCAGCAGGTCCCCCTAGAGGGACCCATACAAAATGTGAATCTCCTTTGATTATTATTCCCACGTGTACCACAATTCTTACTTGCTCCTCATTATTATTCCCACATGTACCGCCATTCTTACTTGCAGAATCTCTCCTGATTATTATTATTCCCACATGTGCCACAATTTTTACTTGCAGAATCTCTTCTGATTATTATTCCCACATGTGACACAATATTTACTTGCAAACTCTAAATCAATGTGTGAGATTCATGCAAAAATGAACAACAATGAAAGACAAAATGATTCTTACAGAATTTACTTTTATGTGTACAATGATGATTGTTATATCATCCGTCCGGTTTTCATGCTCTAACCATAGCTTGTATGATTCTCCAGCAATTGCAGAAGATGCATCTCGAGAATCTGTGCATCTGCTCACCTACAAAGCCGAAGGGAAAAGAGAAACAAACAAAAAAGACATAAAAATTTCAAACATAATAATGGAACAGTAAAAAGGATTATATAAGACTGAGGGTGTTTAGAAACAAATCAGAGGAAACACAGATGGCTTTATATCTTATAGGCCAAAAACGCTAGTAGGAAACAACCCGTATAAAGGGTAAAACAAGAATTTAAGAGATTAAAAAAGGATTATATAAGCTGGATAGAACTCCCGTTAAATGGATAGGCTTCCTCAAAGGTTAAAAATCCTATTAAGAGGTTCACAGCATTCAAATGTGTTTAATACACAATATACATGTCTGAACAGCAGAAATTGGAGCTGCTTACAGGATAACAGCAAGTCTGCAACAAAAAGCTCTTTCAATGGCAGAGGATAGAATAGCACTTTAAAAGATTCAATGTCACTTTGTCAAGGGGTAATGATAACAAAGCAATTTTATTGGTTTCAATTGGCTGATGAACAGTTCTGTCAACAAAGAACCAAAAAAGGACAAGTAAAAGTACACCGAGCATATAATCAACTGTCCAATACAAAATGAAGATAATGGTAATTTTCATTATCTCGTTCAAATGACTGAAATCAGAAACTGCAGATTTAACAGGGTGAAGCAGGTTTTGTCACATGACAACTCCATCTTTCCGCATTACTGCCTCTAGGGCTGCCACAAATGGCAAATGTTATTGTAATATAGGAGCATATATCAAAATATGTCAGGATTTTTAAAAATATATATTTCTATCTCCTGGGCAGGCATGCCAAGTAAGTTTTTGTCTGATGTAAGCTGTCCAACAAACATCCCACATTGTTTTATGTTAGACTCACATACTTTCACACTATTTGAAGTATCTGTAACTAACAGCAGATCCGTTGGTAATACTAAACAGGCAACCTAAGGATGTTACAAGTAGACAAGTAGCACATGCGATAATGATACAATATAACATTGATACTCCAACAAGTCAAATCTTATGAAAGCGCAATACTGACACCTTCGATGCATTAACATACAAATAAATACATGTACTATATAAGACAAATACATGACTTTGATTAAAGGGAAGCTTCCGCCACTGTAGGGTCTGGAAATGTACACAACCTTACCTCTGCATGCTGAGAAGTTGTTTCTTGTTTTGAATCTGTGACCTCAACCTTATCGTCTCCAAGGTTCACCTCTTAGAACTTTGATTAATTTTCTAATTTCTATACTAGAAGATGAAGATATGCAAACATCACAAAGATTTTTATTTTATATTTAACACTACCACCACCAACACAACCACTACTGTTACTACTACTCTCCAATTATATTCCTGTAATTAAGAATTGTATTTTTCGCCTATATTAAAAGTTGTCCATTGCATGATTGACTTGTGATGTCCATGTGTGCAACATAAATTTTTTTTCTTATGGGAAAAAAGGTCAAACAGTTTGGGTGTGTTTATCTCGTTTTCAATATTGTTAAACATGATCCTCTAAAGACGTGCTTGAACTACATAAGAATTGTGTTGGAGACTTGGAGTGTGCCTAAGATGTGTCAGACAAAGTGTCTACCGATGTGCTAGTTGCCAACAAATAAAGTAAGCATTTGTCAGATCTTCAATATTCTGAATGTATCTATTATCAGCAGCTTTAATGTTATCCTGCCTACACTTCCTATATATATCTATTTTATATAAGTTCCTGTCTACACGTCGCATGTAAAGTTCAAAACTTGTACTCTGAAATCTGAATGTCTCTTGTTCACGACACTTATAGCATGTGAGTACTGAGTACCACCTTTCCAGGTGTTCCATTCCTCAACAAAAAAACTTGAATAAAATAAGATGTTATAATAAAAAATGTAAAATACAACTCAAGTACAATTTGATAACAATTTTAAGAATTTGTAATTTTCTCTTATACATGTACACCAACAAACTAAAGCTTTTTTCTCTTCCCTAATAAGAGTGGCAATTGGGTTGATATTTCTTTATACTAGTGTATGCTCCACAAAGATGTGTTTAAGACACAAGCAAACTTGATCGACAATGATATCAAATTCAGGGCTGACTTCTACAATTCTATCACATGCCGTCAAAGTTGGTATTTTGTTCCTTATGCTATTTGATCCAATCAGGTAAATTTATCAGCTGAAATAGAAATGAGTAAGCCAAAATCTGACACCAACAAAGTTAAAAGTACATCAACATTTTAGCTCTATCAGATAGTATAATATGATCTAATGATTGACCTTGACAAAATGAACTATTAAAGCAATCGAGTGACCATGGACCTCACCACAGTAATGAACTCTCGAATTCAACTGAAGAACCTAATTTAAACTAAAAATATTTACACTCAGATCACAACAATATCAACCCTTCAGGATTACATTAGCAAGGAAATGCACCTTCATGAAAATGCCATAGACCAGAGGTGGACTACCAAAAGCAGAAAGATATCAAAGGTGTCAAAACCTTAACAAACCTTCAAAATTCAATAATTTAATAACATCGAAATTAACAAAGAAAAATACTTGTTGCAGTACTTCAATGAAATGTGGCATGCTGATGAAACAAAATAAAGGTACAATGGATTAAAGTGATTTCCTATTTTAATGTATTATGTTGTCATTAGTTAGCACATACCATATCCACAACAGTTTGGCTCGATAGGAACTCAAAAACTCCATCACTTGCAACTACGAAGAATAGATGATTAGGTGTAAGCTGAATCATTGACACCTCAGGAACAGCAACCACACCAATCTTCTCAGCTAAACTATCGCCTACACTCCGTGTAAATGCAGTCCCTGGGTAAATACCATCTTGAACCCACAACCTAGGTGGATCACCACCTTCAGTCTCTTCATCACCCCATGATTGAATACGCGGATCCTTTAGCCCTTCGACTTGATCAACACTTAAAACCCTGGCACCACATAGCTTCACTCTCTCGCATTCATCTTTCCGGAACGGCGTCTGATCATGAGACAGATCTTTAGCAACAATTAGGTCCCCATCCTTCACAGCAATCACAGCTCTTGAATCACCCACATTCGCCACATATAGGGTATCCCCAACAACCAGAACTGTAATTGCCGTAGTACCACTCATTGAATCATCTATATAGCTATTATGTAGTTCGGTATTTGTTGCTAAAAATGCAGAATTATAAGCTTTAACAGGATCATCCAACAGTGAAGTGTCACTAGACAAAATTTCAACCAACCTTTCCTTAACAAAATCCGAACATTGGGTACCAAATAGTCCATGCCCATCAAACACACCAAAGAAATGGACATTTGGGTTACCTTGAAGTTGTGTTTTGACACAGAAACTATCTTGGTTTTCTTTCTCTGGAGTTTCTGGGTAGTACCCTCGTTGTGTGAGGATTGAATACTCCAATAAGAAGTTGTGGGAAGGAACAGAAACAATATCTAATAACCCATCCCTAATTATATGTGTTCCAGCGCCAGTACCTGCACCCAATTCTTGAAAGCTCCTGTCATCACCATCTGAAGATGGTGGGCGTCGCTTACAACACTTCCCATGAACACAACCCATGTTTCAATACAAAATATGAAGAGCCTAAGAAATCAAAAATTCATATATAAACCAAAATTTTCCCAAAAAAGGCTCCAAACGAGGAACAGAAATGAAGCAAACCTTCACAGAAATGCAATATTTGTTGAACAAGGACCAAGTGGGTACTCCAAACAGTCAACATTGAAATGCGATTCTTTGTGAACAACGGGGAAATGGGTACTCCAGAAATTGAACATTGCGGTTGTTGCCAATGGATTTATGCAGAAAACCCACAAGAACTGAGAAACGAACAAGAAACCCTAGAAGTAAAACACCCTTGCAGCTGTCACCGATGAGAACTATGATAATGATAAGACCCGTTAATTTGGGCAATTATTAAGTATCATATATAAAAGGTAAATGAAATAATTACAGTATGTTCATAGATTTGACATGTTTTCAAGTTTTTGAATATGAGTGATTTGATTACGATTCTTATGCTTAAATCTTTTAGATTCCTTTTATATGGATTTGTCAAAGAATTGAAATAATGAGTCATAGACTAAAGCACCCACACGTGACCACATAAATTTTTTTATTACTTTTATTAACTGTAGCTTGAATTATTTTTTCACAAACTCTCCTCCACTTTCAAATCTGAGCACAAAATCTTTCTACATTATTTTTTTATTATTTTCAAACTAACTTCCTAATTCTTTACGTTGCAAAATGCTTATAATAATGAAAATATCCCTTAATATAAATTTAAGAAAATTTAAGTTTTCTTTAAAATGATTTTTATTTTAGGTTTAATTTAAAATGATTTCATTCTAGGTTCTCTTTTCTTTTCTAATTTTTAAAAAATAAAGATTTAAAAAAATTGTGTAAATTATTCTTAGATATTTTTGAAATAATTTTAACAACACTATGCCAAATGAGTTATTTGTATTAATTCTACTATTATATTAAGGCTATATTTAGGGATATTTTTTATCCTTACAACATCACTTGCAGCAAATAGATGGTTAAGGGGATTCTATGTCAAGGAAAATTTTGAGATACAAATTAAAAGTAGAAGGGAGTTTTTTTCCCGATTTGCCTTAGATTGACATAAAAGAAGCAGGTAAAATTTTCAGTTTACACTTCTGACAATTTGTTGACCTGGCCAAGATGATCTCCAACCCAAATTTTAATGTTGTACCTTGTTGTGCAAATAAAATGCTTTTATAATGTCCCGAATTTTTCTGGATTTTTTTGAATTTTTATTTTATTTATTTTTTGTGCCTCGTTCTGTGTGCCACGCTGGCTATGGGGGCCGTTTCTGTCATTTTTCGAGCTGAGGGTTTTAGAAATGTATTTTAAATTATTTTAAGCCAATTAGAATCGACGGGGTCATTTTAGAATTTTTCGGAAGTCGAACGATTTTCAAGCTTGGGAACTTCTCCCAGTTTTGCCATTTGCATTGAGGGGCATTGTAGACATTTCACACGCATATACATATGCATGCATCTATATATTAGAGGTAGATATTTTTGGGACAAGCATGGTATTATGATAAAAGAGAAAGGACTTTATGGTAACTTGGCATAAAGTGAAATCCACTCAAACGTGGACACATGACCCTTAAGACCACAAGGGCAAATTGAAGACCAACATACTTCATCATTCTCTCAGCCAAGCACTATCTTTCTCTAACTTTCCCTCTCTCTCTCTCTCTCTATATCCATACATACACACATATACTTTCCATGTTTCAATCTAGAATTTGAAAGGTTTAAAGTAGGATTTGGAGAAAGACCATGAAGGGAAAGATGATGAGCTTGGAAAAGGCTACCATTTGACACCAATCCTGCTAGGGCTTGGAAGGATTTCAAATTTTGGGAGGCTTAAGGGCTTGTTGGGCTTCATGATGATAGGGGTTTTCTAAGTCCTTAAACTTTGCCTTTTATTGAGAACTATGATCTTGTTCTTTCATTTTTCTCTAGTTAGATGCCTTAGTGTGGAATTATTGTTAAATAAATGCTAAAGAGATGTTTAAGTGTTCAAGCATACTTATGTGTGAGAAATACTCCATTCCATGTTAAGTTTGAGTGCTAGCATGATTATGTTTTCATGACTTACTTGAGAAGTATGCTTGTAGCGAAACGTTATGGAAATGTCCTACTTGCACTTATTATGTGAAAAAATGTTATGCTTGTTGCTATATTGTGGAGAATGTTATACTAGTATTCAACACCTTATCAATGCCATGTATATGTTCATTAAGTTGAGAATGTCATGCATATACCATTGCATCCATATTAACGAAATTGAGGCTAAGAGTAAGAAAAGTAGTGCATTGCATGACATGGCGGGAAAAAGGAAACTGGAAAGGATTGGAAATGAAATTTTATAAAAAGAAGTGGATTTCGTGAGTCCGGTGCTAATTTTGACCTAGAGGGAGCGCGTACCGGTTTAGGACGCGTAAAGTTAATTACTAGGCCCCAAATAATCGTCGATATAGAGGTCAGGGATAGCTAATCAATATTGTCTCAGTAAAGTCGGTTAGCGGTTTTCGGTATGAGTTAGGGTCGATAGAGACCAAGGATGAGATATGGAGCATTGCATTGTATTGCATTTTCGTGCATACTTGTGATGTGAATGTATAATTGTCTTCATAGAGATTGGTATCATATTTTGAGTGTCATATGAACCCAATGTATAGTATTCCTTTATTCTTATTACATGTTGCTCGGCTCAAGGGAGTCCAAAGTTGACGCCTTAAGCGGCTTCTACTGAGTCTTCGTGCTTACCCCTTCCATTAAAAAATTTTAGGTCATGGCAAGGACGTAGTTGATGATGAGCTTTCCTAAGGATAGCCAGAGTTGATAGAATCATCCTTTATAGTATTTTGTAACAAATGCTTAATTGATGTATTTTTTCCTTGTAAGGCGCTGTAATTCTGACCGTAAGGGTCTACGATTATAACTTGTAGTCAATTGGACCACTTTTAATGTATATTGAAGTGTGAGGAAGAATTGTTATTAATTTAAATGCTAATAAACTATTGACTCTATAGGTGTTAGATTGATGTCTAATGTTGAGGTATAAACTTTATTTATCAATGTACCCAAGTGTATGACCATATTTCAAAACAATTTTGATCCATGAGAATGCACCCAGGTGCCTAAGCAACTTGCTTGACCCATACCATAGTTTTACAAGAGCATTTGGCTATTTTTTAGGCCAGTGCTCAAGCACAAGCCTTGGCCAAGGACTGTCTGTTGCAGGGTGGTTAATACTCGAGCATAAGGGGTCTGTGCTCAAGCATTGGGGTCTAGAGCTTGAGCACAAATGTTTGTGCTTGAGTATTGGGGTGGTTTTGGTGAGATCCTGAGAGCAGCTCTCAGGACTTTTCATTTTTGGTCCCAGAGCTCGAGCACAAACATTTGTGCTCAAGCACAAGGTTGAGCTCAAGCGCAAATAGTTGTGCTCAAGCACAAAGTGGTGTGACCCTATTCTTATGTTAGCCCAAACTTCGAACGCCCACAACTCTTTCGTTTTAAACCCGAATAGGGTTGGTCTTGAGTCTAACTTGCATATTTTAAGCCATCTGTCAAATAGTGTAGGCTTCATCCCATGATTTTGACAAGAAAGGACCATTTTACTCTTGTCAATCATAGGGGCCTAGGGTGAGCCCGAAGTCAAGGTTATCAATTTTTTTTTTCTTCATAATCCGTCTTGGTTAATTATGATTGGTATGCCATCGTTATGACTCCTAACATATAGTAAGGTTCATAATGACCATTTTGCCCCTAGTGTCCCCGGGTCGAGTTGGGACCCAGTTAGCTATCTGAATCCTCCAGATTTGGGTCGTTACAGCTTTTATTTCAAAAATGTAACATCGATATTTTTAATTCAAAATAATGGTGTTGCACCCTAAATTTCAAAATAATGATATTTCATTTTTAAGTTTTTTTTATTTTTTATCAAATTTCATTTTAAAAGTAAATGGGTTACATTCTTGAAGTAATGTTGTTCCATTCTCAAAAAATCATAAAAAAATAACAAAATAAAGGTTGTATTACATATCCACACATAAAATAAAGCACTAAATTTATACAGAACAACATCGACTATAAGGAACACTCCCCTTTCTCCTCATTTCATCCACCATTCACACTCCATTCCAGCCTCATCAACCAAATCAAAAACCTCTACTGCACTGAAACCACCCCTCACCAGTAGAAAGCCACCTCTCCACCCCTTATCCAGAGCGCCTTCGAAATTCATTAAAAAAAACCAACCCTTCTTATCAGTACCACATCCCAATATTACTTCCATACATAGTATATCTTCCCTAAACCATAACAACCCTGATCTTCACCCTCGGCTTTCTACTGTTACCTCCTCCACCATAGACAAGATTAAGAAAGCCCTTCAATGTGATAGGATCCTCAATCCTTTTAATGAGCCAATTTATGATATTTGCTACTTACTTGAGGGGTTAGATGCCACAATCATGGATGTATCTAAATTTGAGCTGATTGATGAAATTACGATGCTAAAAGATCGCCTAAAAGTTGCTGCAGAGGAGATTTAGTTGCTGAAATCTTCATGTCATGAAGCTCCCCAGCTTTTGCCTCTACAAGCCTTTGTGGTCTTCATAGAGAATGTCTCTGGGAACCACAAAGAAATGATGATTAACTTGAGGGCGCTTCACGATCAGGCCACTATGTTTAGCTCCAGTCACCTACATGATGATCAAGTTTGTAACGTGTAATGTCCTGAATTTTTTTGGATTTTTTTCAAAATTTTATTTTATTTATTTTTTACATATTGTTTTGCGTGCCACGCGTGCCTCAAAGGCTATTTCGGTCTTTTTTTTTTGAGTCGAGGGTTTTAGAAATGTATTTTTATTTATTTTAAGTTAATTAGAGTTGACATGATCATTTTTAGAATTTTTTTGAAAGTCGGGGCGATTTCCGGGCTCGAGAACTTCTCCCGATTTTTTCATTTACAGTGGAGGGCGTTATATACATTTCACATACATATATATATATATATATATGTAAGTATATATTGGGAGATATTTTGGGGATAGGTTTGACATTGTAGAGGAAGAACAAGGGCAAGGTGGTAACTTAACCAAATGTTAGTACTCCACAAGATCTTAACAAGTGGCATGTTATGGGCTAAGGAATAAGTTGCAAGACCAAGCCAAGACGCCCTCTTTCTTTTTCATTTTTGAAAATTTCCTTCTTTCTCTAGTCTTCTTCTTTACTCTCTCTACATCTATATACACATATGCATCTACATATTTGAAGGCCTTAAGATGAGATTTAAGACGAGAGCAAGGAGAAGAAGCTGGAGTACTCGAAGAGAGCTTCCATTGGAGACCAATCTTACATACACTTGGGAATTTTGAATTTTGGAGTGGCTTAATGCTTGTTTGGTTGCACACTCTTGAGGTGGGGATGTTTAATGT